CCTTTCCATCCTCTTTTAAAACCCTCCGATATATCTAAATTGTTGTGCTTGCTAGATTTTGTTATCTCCAATTTGTAATTTACGTGGTGTGCAGCTCCTTTTGCTGAAAACAATGCATTTCGTCTCCTTGCAATTGACGTTTTTTGAAGAAAATTTCAGTGGACAGGGAAACAACTGTTTAAGCCGTAAAGAAAATGGCGAGCGGAAAATGAAAAATTATGCTGGTGCAAAAACATCGTTATTCGAAATATGTTGATATTTGGAAGTTAATGTTATGAGAGGGGAAAATTGTGATTCATATATTTTACAAATAAATTTCTTGCCATCAAATTCTCAGTACTTGATTTTACCTTAGGTCGTACACGACAGACATTGCATACTTAGATAGATTGCATACTTAGATAGATAGACAGATTTTGATAGAAAGGCGTAGAGAGTGAAATATGAAACGATTTAGATAGATAGATAGATAGATAGATAGATAGATAGATAGATAGATAGGAACAGATTTTGATAGAAAGCCGTAGAGAGTGAAATATGAAAAGATTTAGATAGATAGATAGATAGATAGATAGATAGATAGATAGATAGATAGATAGATAGAAACAGATTTTGATAGAAAGTCGTAGAGAGTGGAATATGAAAGGATTTAGATAAATAGATAGGAACAGATTTTGATAGAAAGCCATAGAGAGTGAAATATGAAAGGAATTAGATAGATAGATAGATAGATAGATAGATAGATAGATAGATAGATAGATAGATAGAAACAGATTTTGATAGAAAAAACAAGAGAAATATGAACGTATTTAGATAGATGGATATGAACTGATTTACACACACACACACACACACACACACACACACACACACATATATATATATATATATATATATATATATAATACCAACTGGTAAATGGTAGGGATAATTCCAAGGAGGATATTAATCCAAATAGAGGGCAATGTAAGAAAGATTGTTAGGAAGAGATTTGGATTGAGATAGATAGACAGACACACAAACGGACATGAACAAACGATAAGCGAGCGAAAGAAAGAATCATGAATTTTGAGAATATCTAGAATTTTCTATGTAATTAGATGTAAAATAATAATTTATTCAAGTTTGTGGCTGATAAAATTATCTATGTTTTCTGTATCCAACATCTTTTGGAATTATTTATAAATACTGTTTTATATCTTGCATCAAACACAAGACAAAATAAGTTATTTTCAATAATAAAGTTTTTTTGTTATATAAAAATGTAATTTATCAGCTGATAATAGCACGTAATAGTGTTCGTCTCGTATTAAAATAAGTTTATTCTGAAAATGTTACCAATATCAATGGTTTAATACTAAATTTAGTGGTGGGTAATTGAATACAAAATGTAATCATATATTTATGACGCGGGGGGGGGATGAACACCTCGACGTGGCGTAATGGTTAGAAAGCTTGTCTTGCTAGATCAATTAGGATTGAGTAGTGAGTTCGATCCTCACTGGGTACCCCATACATTTGTCCTTGTGCCACATCTAAGCCGGGCTTAGAAAATTACTTGGGTACCCCGAGGCGGTGTAAAGGTTAGCAAGTTTGTCTCGCTAGAACAATTACGCCTGAGTAGTGAGTTCGATTCTCACTGGGTGCCCCGTACATTCAGACATCTAAGCTACGCTAGGAAAATCATTATATGACGAGGGAAGAAAAGTAAAACAACAAACCTTGATTTTACCTTAGGTCGTACACGACAGACATTGCACATTTAGATAGATAGATAGGAATAGATTTTGATAGAAAGCCGTAGAGAGTGAAATATGAAAGGATTTAGATAGATAGGAACAGATTTTGATAGAAAGCCGTAGAGAGTGAAATATGAAAGGATTTAGATGGATAGATAGATAGATAGATAGATAGATAGGAACAGATTTTGATAGAAAGCTGTAGAGAGTGAAATATGATAGGATTTAGATAGATAGATAGATAGATAGATAGATAGGAACAGATTTTGATAGAAAGCCGTAGAGAGTGAAATATGAAAAAATTTAGATAGATAGATATGTAGATAGATAGATAGGAACAGATTTTGATAGAAAGCCGTAGAGAGTGAAATATGAAAAGATTTAGATAGATAGATAGATAGATAGATAGATAGGAACAGATTTTGATAGAAAGCCGTAGAGAGTGAAATATGAAAAGATTTAGATAGATAGATAGATAGATAGATAGATAGATAGATAGGAATAGATTTTGATAGAAAGCCGTAGAGAGTGAAATATGAAAAGATTTAGATAGATAGATAGATATATAGATAGATAGATAGATAGATAGATAGGAACAGATTTTGATAGAAAGCAGTAGAGAGTGAAATATGATAGGATTTAGATAGATAGATAGATAGATAGATAATTAGATAGATAGGTGTGAAGTGATTTATAAATTTGAACTGACTGAAATAGATTTGAACGGAATTTGACAGAAAGAACAAGAGAAATATGAACGTATTTAGATAGATGGACATGAACTGATTTACATATATATGTATAGTTTTAAGGTCCAAAGTTATTTTAAATGGGGTGTTGCTGCGAAGGAAGAGAAACAAACGGGGTCTCTTGTCGAAAAAGTTTGACGACCCCTGATCTAGACAAACAACACGCGAAAATTTTAATAATTTATCTTCACCACTTGAACCTTAAAACTCGCACTGATTGATCGCAATTAAAATGAATTTCACCCAAAAATATATTTAAGAAAATATATTAAATAACCCCAATGAATCAAGCAAATAATTTATTAAATACACCAAACCTAAATAAAACCAATGCTATTGAACCGCTACTGATATTCAATTAATAATGTATTCTATGCAAAGAAGATTGTTAAAACCCGACGTGAATTGTCTCAAAGACGCTTTGAAATTAGTTCCCTATAAAAGATACAAAGATGGGTATGCTTGGATATGTATGAAAAGTGCATGTGCCTTCACGCTAAAAACATAACGATATCAGAACGGGGTCTTTTTTTCCTTCTTTGAAACATATTATTAGATTAGTGGTTAAATATGCTATCAGGCAGTCAAGATGCAATATCAAAATATCCTTGGATACAAAAACAAATATACAATAGTTAATATATTAATCTTTGTCAAGAAGAAAATACCGAAGACCGATTTTAGCAGAGATTAATTTGGTGGAGATAGTATTGAGCAAGTTGTTCGCACACAGACCTCTATTCGGTCCCTTGATTATCATCGAACCCCTAGAACTCCTTATCAACCTCTAGGGGTTTCTAGGACCACGTTGACGACCTTTGGTCTAGATGCATAACTTTCCTGACCACATTCAGTTTATAACTGTTTTTATTTTAATGTTTTTGTCTTTGTTATGACCAACTAGCCAACATTTTAATAATAGTAGTTTTGTTAAGAAAGATGACATGCTGGATGAAACTGGAAATGTATTTACGGTTGAAGACTTTTTTTTATTTAAGCATTACGCCCCGAGCAAGGCGTGAAGCCACTATGATGCAGGGGGTTGCAGAAGATTTGGAGCAAGAGCAGATAAGAGTGATAGAAGAAAGGATGAGGAGAGGGATAGTGGATAGATCAAGGTAAATGGAGATGTCGATTGACATTACATTTGAATAGTTGGAGATTATAGCTCTCAGGGAAACAGTAATTGGGAAGGGTGTTCCACAGGCGAGAGGTGCGAGATATGAGGCTATTGGTGGAGAAGAGACGGCTACATTTAAAAGTTTCTACAGTGTAAGGGTGGGAGTGGGATGCCAGCCTCGTAGGACGCTTGACTTTATAGAGTCTGGGAACCAGTGAAAGCAGCTCATCGGAGCAGTTACCATGAACGTATTTGTAGAAAAGGCAGAGAGAGGCTACGGCGTGTCTTTTAGAGAGTGTCTGCAGACGTGATGCCAGGTCAGGGCCAATTATATTACATATCCGCCTCTGGATCTTGTCAAGAACCCCGAGGTAAACAGAAGGTGCACCAAACCATATATGGCAGCAATACTGCATGCAAGGGCGAATGGTTGATTTGTAGGCAGCTATACTCCATGCAAAGGCGAATGGTTGAGTGCACTTTATATATATATATATATATATATATATATATATATATATATATATATATATATATATATATATATGTATATATATATATATATATATATATATATATATATATATATATATATATATATTCACCTCATTGTGAAAAAAATAATAATATACTATAATGTACTAGCACTATAACCCGTCTTTGACCGGGCCTTTCATTACTGGAAATGTTGTCGTGCATTTGGAGCAGTTTAAAGTCATCCCACCCGAAAATCAATATTAGTAACATTTGGTTGCAACGTCCCCAAATGGTAGGGGTTAACAATTTGAATGGGGGAGGGGTGGCCGGAAAAGGGAACTGTATAATAATAAATAATATTATTGTAATAATTTAAACTATTTATTTTTATTAAAGTTTTTATGAAAGATATATATCCAAGAACAGATAGTAAATAGTAAAATGTTGCTGAGAGTTATGATGGGCAGGAAGTAGTGGAGAGCCATTGCCGCCAACAATTTGGACTCAAAACCGACACTGAAGAATTATGTATCAAACAAAAAGAATTAATCGAAATCAGATGAAAACTGTGGAAATGCATAAGCAACGCCCGATCACACACATACACACACAAATATATATATACACACACACACACACACACACACACACACGACAATAACGTTTGAAGTAATTTAAAAAAATCGTATCAGAAAGAAATCCATTAGCTCTTTATCTATCTATACATCCCTGTACGACTCCAGTACGTAGTTGATTACTCACGGTATCCTGTACCTTTATAGGAGTCAGATCAGGCCGAAAATGGAGTATTATTGCCATATTTAGACGGGAGCTGCCAGACGTCACGTTTGAGTTTGATATAGTTCAAAAACGTCTCGGAGTCCTTGTAGGAGAAAAATTACTTACCACACTCTAATCGCTCTCACACAGGCAAAATGTAGCCGTTCTCTCATTGCTTTATCGCTATAAACAAGAAATGTACCTTCAATCGAATGTTTCCCCGAACTTTAACGTGTTCAAGTCTAGACCCCCCCACCTATCCATATAAATTACCCACTAACGAAACACTCTACCACGAGTGGCCTCCGGGCCTTGTACGTGGTGAACCTTTCTGTATCACAGACATACTGACACAGACACACAGACACACACACATTTTGAGAATTATAGATATAGATATATGGTAAATTTGGAATATAGAATGGGATCGTGGATTTTACATCATATCAAAACTTATGCTATTCGATTTTCAGATCTGCATTTTTTAACAACCTCTTTTTAATACTCCAGTCTAGAAGTAAATACTGTTCTGTATGATAATATAGCCTGTAAGTAGTCACTCGATGTGTAGACCTTTTGAATAGGGGATTCTTAAGTAGATTCCGGCAGTCAGTATATTTTAGGATCTGTCGACAGGTCAAAAGGAAGGAAGTTCTATACAAAAGGAAACAGAGTAAGATACAGAAAAATGATAATAATGCTAAACAGAAAAATAGGAGAAGAAAGAAACATCGATGTGGCCAAAGGTTTTCAAATGAATTCAAAATTGGAAGTAAAGGAAAAGCTTTTCAAACGGGAACGCAAGATGATGATAACATAAAAGTAACGAGACGATGAAAGGAAGTTTGCTAATGTTTTAAAATCATTGGAACGAACTATGAAACAGGGCATATATATATATATATATATATATATATATATATATATGCATGTATAAAGACAGGGTGAGATGCATAAATTGTCGCATAAATTAAGCAGAGATGATAATAACACTGGCATCTTATTTTAACAGATATATTTACCAAAATTACACAAAAATATCTTGAAATACTATAGAGTAAATTTACTCAATAAAATCGCCACTACAACCACGGCCTCCAAACGATTTCGGAATTTCCTGCAATTCTTCAGGACTCTCCTTTTTTAAATTGGTGAATGCAGCCAGAATCATTGTATTCAGGTTTGTTGGTCTCTCGTTCAATTGCGCATCACAATTAATAATCAAGGGGGTTGCAGTCTGGGGGTGGTTAATGGCCAGATGTAAGGGGTGATGCGGTTGCAGAAATTGTCTGACATTGTGTGGCATGGCGCAGAGTCCTGTTGCCAGACAGAGGGTCTTCACCGAGAACTACCTCTGCAAAGCACGATGTAGACCTACGTGTTGAGTCTAAGACCATAACCAACAAATTCGGAAGTTTTTTTTGTTTTTTTTATCAGAACGATCCCAGTGTGTTTTTTTCGTACCATTGTAATCACCATTAGACTCATCCAATTCTTTTCGAATCCTTTGCACTGGCCTTAGATTAACACCTAAACACACTGAAATGTTCTCAGATTGACACCCGAACACATTGAAATATTCGTATTGAAACTTCCGGCTCGAATGTCAATCAGTACAGCATGCCGTATCCAAATTTTTGGCAGAGTGAATTGCGTCATGGTGCCTTTTTTCTCACGGGCGGTGACCTTACTATACTGTGCAGTCGACACAATCAAAAACGAACGCGCATATGCGACAATTTACCCCTCGCACAATCTATCTATCTATCTATCTATCTATCTATCTATCTATCTATCTATCTATCTATCTCTCTCTCTCTCTCTCTCTATATATATATATATATATATATATATATATATATGTGTGTGTATGCATTATAATTATTTTTTTAAAAATATGATTCCTTCGCTACATAAGAGTTCTCATGTTTCAAAAAACGAGAGCCCGAAATTTTTGCTTGAGGATGAAACAGGGCTTGTTACTTTAATTCAATTTAACTTTAATTGATATTGATGGTCTCGGCACTCGTTTTTGAAACATGAGAACTCTTATGTAGCGAAGGAATCATATTTTTTAAAAAAGATAATTATAATCTAAGCTCTACTTCTGCATGGAGCACTGTTTTTTTTAAATAAAAACAAAAATACTAAGTAACCCTGGATTATTTACCTAACGTGTTCTTTCCTATTTTTCTACATACCTGCACACAGACACACACAGACACACACACACACACACACACACACACACACAGACACACAGACACACACACACACACACACACACACATATATATATATATATATATATATATATATATATATATATATATATTGAAGTAATGTAATTGCGAACGAATCACAAGTCGTTGATGAATAATTTAATGAATATTTGCAGAATGAAGGGAAAAGGAACGGAAGCGAGTAAGAAAGAAATAAGGTAAGAAGTGGAAGAAAATGAAAATAAAGAATGAAATTTAAATAGAAAAAGCAAGATGAATAATAAGGAATTTGTGCTTAAGAAAATTAACGAATCATTGAATAAAAAGGGAAGGAAAGAAATAAAAAGAAAAAAAAAGGATGAATGAATCAATGAAAGAAATAACGACAGAAAGAAAGGAAAAATATAAACCATGAAAAATGAATGTTGAAATATGGAGAAAAAAAAAATTGGCGCATAATCTTATACAAAATGCTAAACTCGACAACGACATTTTTTCAACGTCAAAATCTCTCTGACCCGAAATTCTTGGTCTCACAATCAAACGTGCACACGCACAAGGACGTCAGCACATACACATAGATACACCACAAACACATAGAAGGAAGCACCAACACAGGCACGCACACGGACGCGCGTATACATACAAAATTATATATATATATATATATATATATAATTATACGATTTATATGTTTCTCTATTTATTTATTTATTCAGTTTGAACCCAGAGTTTCAATTCGATCGATCACTTTCATGGTACAAACAGTCCAAAATTCCTTACCCCTCTTCACGTTTCCTCACCAGCCAGGCAGGAGACCCTCCTCTCCCCTCGCACCCTCCCCGAGCCCACGGCTGACAACTCGCGCCCACATTCCCTCAAGAAGGTAATTCTCCGCCACTACGTTCTCCTCAGCGACGCCATAGCCAACAGAATGGCCGACGCGTCAACACGGCCGAACCAAAGTGATTTATTGATGGCGAACCCTCATCAATCATTACAAAATGATATAGAAACGTTCAGAACATCAATAATTCCTTCATACCTCGATTCTTCTGCAATCTCCAGTCTCACGCTCCATCCAACCCCTTGACTGGGTGATAATATTGATATTACGTGCTACTTGCTTTTATATGGAACACTAATGCGTTAGAAAACGCTGTGGTATAGTGATTAAGATGTTGGCGAGAAGAAATGACAACTATTATATCACGTTTAGGGATAAATGCAGACTAGACGATAGTCCTAATTCACATATATAATATATATGTATATACTTCTAATATTGCAGCATATACATTGATCTTATTGTGATATCTAATGATAAAATAGTTTCGTATTTTTAGAAGAAAATCAGGCAGGTTTTGTATTGTTTGCTTCATGTCGACCGTCGTAGTTGAGATTATGGTCTATGTCAGACCATGCGATCATGTTTCTTTCGATACATGACTGACGAGTCAGTAGGTTTCCGTTTCTTTCTGCGGGAAACCAGTTGCCACCCAAGGCTATAGAACTTGGTCGGGGCGGGGGTGAGAAGAAGAGGATTCGTATCTTTCTGAAGGGTATTAGCATGTAAGTTAAAATAATAGATCCTACTGGAATTCGAACTCAGTTCTCGGATTCCTTAATGCAAGCTGCTATCCATTATTCAACTGTGCCTCCTTGTATATCTGATTGGGTAGTCTGACACAATTCATAAATATATTGAAGAGAAAAGCCTGAATTTATTTATTTATTTAATTTTTTGCTGCAGTTGATATCGTTTTTGTCAGGTAAGTCCATGTAGTATGTTTGGAATGGTCAGTCTTGTGAATCTCATTAAATCAATGTGAGCAAATTCTTAACATCTTTCTGATTTTTATTAACAAACTTTCTATAAATAGTCTTAGCATATTAGTAAACATCTATTTGCTAAAATCAAGATGTTCAGAGCATTGCAACTGATCCCTCTCTTAACATTTTTTCTAAGCATTTCACCACAAGCAAGGCGGGAGTGTGACTAGCCCGCAAGGGGTTACAGAGAGTGAGAGCAAGAGTAAAGAGGAGTGTTCGAGAAAAAGGATAAAGAGAAGGATGGGGATCAAGGTCAAGGCATCAGAAGATGTCGATTGACTTAACATTTGAATATTTGAAGATTATAACGAGAAAGAGGAAGGAAGTTTCACTGACGGGAAGTGCGAGATAAGAAGCTGTTGGAGTAGAAGAGATGGCTACATTTAGCCGTTTCGACAGTGAAAGGGTGGGACCGAGATGCCAACCTAGTAGCACGCTTAAATTCATGCAGTTTGGGAACCAGTGAAGGTAGCTTATTGGAGCAGTTGCCATGAAAATACTTGTAGAAAAGACAGAGGGAAGCCACAACACGTCTTTGAGGAAGTGACTGTAGACGAGATGCCAGATCAGGACCAATCTCATGGCATATGCATATGCAGGAAAATGACGTTTATCTTTCAATACCTCGAAATCCAAGCCATTGACGTTTCATTAACATCAAGCAGATCCTGAATCGTAACTTACCATGATGAAGAACAGCACTCTCAATGGGGATTCATGCTTTGAACATCTCATCAGAATCATGTTCATCCCAAACCTTATGTGGTACTCATATATACTGTCCATTGCTAAAGATGCTGGAAAAATAATCGGTTCTTTCTACCGCTCCACATAATGACTGTCTCGCCCTGCAATGTTCTGTCTTTACAATTGTCGGATCAGACCAAAAATACAGTATTTTCGCCACTTGTGGTCGAAAGATATCCTTACTGCCTTTACATACACAATCAGTGACACACGCAATTTATTATCAATTCCTCACGAGATTGATTGTCTTAGATATCTCAAAGACCTTTGAAAAGGTGTGGTATGAGGGGAGTTGTTTCACAAACTCTCCAGCTATGGTATTTCTGGAAGAGTCTTCGTAATTATCAAGTCCTTTCTATCAGTTAGATCCCTGAGTGCCGTTGTTGTTGGCCAGTCTTGTGAAGTCCGTTAGATCAATGCAGGCGTCCCTGAGGCTATACCTTCACCCCTGCTCGCTTTCTGTTTCATGCTAACGATCTGCCCAAGAACAGTCTCAGATCATTATGCATATTATACTACAATTTATGGGCGCACCGCTCAAGATATTGATGACCAGAATATGGCGGCTGATCTATACTCTGATCTACATTTAACAGCTGAATGGGGGGAAAATTGGCTTGTCACGTCAGATAACCACAAAAGCTAGTAAGTTTTCATCATCACTGAGCAAAACTTGAATGTTCCCCTATCATGATGACCAATTGAATTTTCAATAGGGTTCACGTTTGAACATCTATTGGGATACAATTTCACCCCAAACCTCATGTGGAACTCATATCATCATCAAAGATGCTGGAAAAATGGTCGGCTCAGACTGTCGACCCAGACTCTTTCTGATTGTCTTTGTATTTGCAAAAGTTAGATTAGAGAAAAACAAAAATGTGATGTTGCTTCCAAATGTTGATTGGGGGTGCCTAATCTTCACGATCCAGCCTAGACATAGTTCAAAATTCTTTACGCGGCTTTGATGAGGGAAAACTATTTTCCTCTATTTTAGCCGACTTCCCACAAGACGCATCGTCACAAGACCATCGCTACTCTACCGCTATTTCCTTGACAAACGTTCAGATGAGCGTTCCATCTTTTAGTTCCGCCAGTTCAGACCGTTACTCCTAGGATACGCCATACCATTTTCGCGGAGATTACTCACCCTTAATAACTGCCGTATTCTAAATTTAAGAAGACAGTTCCATTCAATCAGTCTCTTCCCAAGAACGGCTTCACTTCTACCTCCTCTTTTATTCATATCATAACAATTTTTTCATTACCACTCTATCTTAAGGGCTCTTGTGCTTTATATGGGGTGAATTTTCTTATTCTGAGTCCTTATCCTTTACAGCACACAACACATCCTAGTATACTTTAAATTGTTCAAACTATTGTTCCCATTTTAATTATTATATATGTTATTATAGACGTAACGTTTCAGCCAAGTACCCACTGGCCAACTTCAGGTCAACCTAGATTAGACATAAGAGAGAGGATTGCTGCCATATGTTGGCTGATGTTGCTAAATCTTTTCCTTCCATTCTTGATAATTTTCAAAATCCACATTGCAACTGATTTCCCACCGACTCAATTTCGAAGCATGGCTATTTCCATTGAACATGTTGAAATGAGCGTTCCATTCTTTACTTCCATCCGTTCAGACATTTACTCTCAGGACACGCCATGCTACTTTCACTGAGTCGAGTCACCCACATTCCATCCTTATTCTAATTATAAGGAGAGAATTTCAATCATACAACCTTTCCCCAAGAAATTCTACTTTGTTAAACAGACACCCGCGCAGTCGGCTCCCTGAACGCTATAATCTAATCCTTGTCCATTCAAGAGTCAGTCTTTATGTATCCGCCTTTAATATATATATATATATATATATATATATATATATATATATATATATATATATATATATATATATATATATATTTCCTACCACCTCGTATTTTATATTTATACTGCACAATGAATCAGTAACCCTCGCTTGAGATTTGAATTGCCTGAATTTTAGAATAAGAAATATCGCCTATGTAAACGTGGAATACTTTACTGTTGTGGCCTTGTTAGGGCCAGGAATAAAGACACAAGAGAGAAATTGAGTTAAACAAATATATTAACAGAAAGATTAATACAAACATATGAAAACGAGAGTGTTACAGCAAGAATGTTCGGTCCGACTGTCAGAGGTGACTGCTGGAAATTTCGCGATCCAAAAGGCAGTACCTGCTCCTATTTATAGCGGGGAGAGTCCATGCGTGCATAGTTAAATTACGATAACATTTACTTAGATTGTTTATTTCCTTTTTGCATAGACAATCAAAGTGTAGGCTGCACTAGTAGTAGTTTCGACCAATACCGCAAACTGCTACAAAACCAAAGCTTTGACATACAAACTCGAGTCATATTTTTATATAACCTCGCCAATAGCCTCGTCAGGTAGATATCATGTATGGTAACAACCCCGTCCAGAAATGTGTAAACTGTCAACTGTATAAAACCGATTTCTCGGTACAATAATTAAAAATGGCTTCGAAAAAATGAAGCCGGTAGATCTTAGTAAGTACCATTTATTTTTCGAACCTACTAGACTGTTGGTACAGAATAACAAAGAATAGTAGTAGCAAATAAAATATTTTACTTAAGCACTTTCAACAGCAGCAACAATTAAAATGAAAAGCACTTTTAACGAAGAGTAAATAATAATATTATGAAAATGTTATCGTTCGAAACTATTTAATAAAAAAGACGTCATCAATAAAGATGTTAAGAAGGAAGACGCCATCACTACTGGAAAAAGCGATAAAAATTAGTGGACTTGAGAGGCCTATTT